AAAAAAAAAAGTGGTATGCGAGCCTAAAACGTTTGAGAACCACTGTTCTAGAAGTTTCTGAACACAATACAGTACTAAGAGAAAAAGATTTTTAGACATTTTTATTGCGTTGTATATATTGTGTATATAAATTTTTGTTACTAGGTTTTTTATAATTTATTTTTTTTCAAATTAGGCCTGGGTTTGTAATTTAAAAAAAAAAGTGGTATGCGAGCCTAAAACGTTTGAGAACCACTGTTCTAGAAGTTTCTGAACACAATACAGTACTAAGAGAAAAAGATTTTTAGACATTTTTATTGCGTTGTATATATTGTGTGGAAATTTCTAAAAGTATCGTGTACTAGGAAAATTTTCTAGGTGTTTTCTGAAGTAGGTCTATCGTATAGGTAAAGGCAGTAGACCATTAGTCTGTCAGTAGTCTGCTTATAATAGTGAAGTGAAGTATTAGTCAGTCTAGCTTGTGTGTTTAGTAGTGTGGTGGTGAGCAGTGAGTTAAAGCAGGGGTTCCCAACCACCGGTCCACAGGGAGATGGTTGAAACAAAAAAATCTGTTTTAACTTTTAAGTATAGCAACTGGAGTATGTTGAATTACAGCTTTTTTAAAAAAGAAAATTTATTACTGTATGAGGTAGTCCTTGAAATTTTGGGATCATAACTAGTTCATTCTCAATCAGAAAAAGGTTGGAAACCACTGGTTTAGGCTGTGGTGTGGTGTTTGTTGTGATGAAGAGTTATCCACAGAGTATTGGCTGATAATTTTTAAATATCAGCCAGTAACAATATGTATTGGCACATCATGAATAAATACAGTTGTAAATAATTAAATGTGCAATGGTATTTCTGTTCTTGAGTTTGTTTTACTGAAACTGTGTGGTTCTTATAATTCATTTAAAAAATAATAATTCTTATTGATCGTGTTAAGACTTGACCTTGAAAAGGGACATATAGTTTATGAATTCAAACAAACCTTAAAAGTGATTTATCTTTTTATTTCAGACACATGCAGATCTTCAGCCTTTTACAGACACTTACCGACATCCTCCAGGCACCATGTTTGACTTAACTTCCGTCCCCGTATTACTGTGTTTGGAGAATGAACCAAAGCTGCTCGACTACATCCGAAGCTGTGGAGCCTCCGTAACTTCCTTAGACTTCAAGAAGGTATTCGAACATCTCCCGACACTCTTACTTTTCACTGATACTAACTGTAAAGTTTTTGATGACATAAACTTTATTTCAGTATATATATATATATACGCATTAGGATGATGAACAGAATGACTTCAATCATTCTAAAATGTAATTCCTGACTAGAAAAAGAAAGCTAATAATACATTGTGGGCTTTTAAGAGGCAGTGAATAGTTGACATCAGCTTTCGACTAACCTCTTTCCTTTAAAACAAATAAAGAATTAATAATTATTAAATATCATATTAATACTGAAAGCTGCCCTCTTTCAGGATCTTTAACTTTTTGGTTATTGTTTAGTTTTCTTATATAATACAACTGTAAGCCATCGTAATCTGTATTTCTTAGTGTATCATTACTAGCTACAAATGTATTAGACTTTTATATATATATATATATCCAGAAAATGTAATAATTATATATTTTTTATATGTATAGGCTGTAGCATTAGTAAACAATAATTTCATAGAACATTTTGTTTTCTTTAGCTCCATACGACTGTTATTGAAAGTGGTGCCGTAGAAAAAGCTAAGAAACTTCTAAGTACCTACACTAAACGAGCCCAAGTCATCCTGGCAGAGTTTGGAAATTCAGATGCTACACTAGCATTACTGAAGATCGTTCATGCTCTAGAAGAACAGTGACTGTTTGTTTACTTGCGACTAGTTGTTTTGTATTTCAGGCATTATACGATGAAGCCAAAGTTTTGGTGTTTAAAACATTCATTAGGTGGGTATGTGGACATTACTAAGTTTTGTAATAAAGATTTAAAAATCAACGTGTAGTTCTGTTAACATGAAATATTTTAACTTTTGTTTTAATGATGTATCTTATCTAGAACTTCAACATAATGGACCTCCGTAATATCTTTTTACCGAAGTAAACTGGCATTTGTTATATACATTAATATTCCCTAAGAATGTTTACTAACTAAACACCAGATAACCCACAACAGTCTGTAAAGATAAGGACTGGAGAAGTTTTACTGTAAAAACAAGTCTGGATTTCACTGTGACAGAATTAACTGCATTATCAATCGAGGGTAAATATTCTAGAAAAGAAAAACCTCACACCCTCAATTAATACCCCTAAAATTATTTGTTAATTTTTACTGTCCAAATGGTTTACAACAACAATATGTACATATTACAAATTTAAAACAATCCATAATCTGTGTTAACGAACAATTATTTAAAAAAATATTATCGTGAAAATCTTCTCTAACTTGACAAGTTATGTGGAAGAAAGATTAAAATACATCCAGTTTTTTTTTTTTTAAGTTACTAATCACCAAGTTTAATTGAGCAAATATTTATCAAAATGATTGAGGTTTTGATTAAAGCACATATAACCAAAATACTGTTGAGGTTTTTTTTTGAGCTTAATACTAACAAGATTGGTTGGTGAAAGTGTATGATATTGAATCATTTAATTTATTCATTGAAAGATGTTAAATAATTTTTTTTAAACCAAAAGATAAAACAACAAAAAAATAAACTTTTGATTTGTTTGTGGTACTGATTTTATTCTATAAGCCAGCTTTACACTGCCAGTCGAGTCTAAAATTTGGAAGAGATTTGTTATTTTCCCAAGACCGAAGAATCGTAACAGATACATAAAAGGTCAATAACATGAGAGTACTCCTGTTTGAAACCAAATTGTTATGTTTACTGTGAAGCAGTTTCTCAATCCATGGGTTGCGACCCCACATCGGGATATATGAAGGGGTCGTGAACAGAGTTTGAGAATAGATAATAGTTTATATTTTTATTTAGTAAGGCAGATGATAGTTAGTATTTACAGATAGGTCCTGAGCTGACAAAGTTGTGAACCACTGATCTATATTGCTCAATGGGCAAGACTTCCAGATCAGTCTCCATAAATACCGATTTAGTAGTCGGAGGCTTCATTCCTCACCCTACTTTGTAAAACCAACCGTAGGCCTACACGTACTGTGTGTGTGTGTGTATATAAACACACAGAATTCAGTAGTTATACGAGACATGAAGGATCGGCAAAACGTGGAAGCACAAATATAGAAGTCTTCTGAATACTTTAACTTACAGTTGTCTATTAATGATATTTTGATGTAATACCAATCAATGCCAAACATAATTTTTTTCTGGAAAGTTAACCATAGCTTTGTTCAAAAGAAACAAAATTAAGTGTTCACCAACATTGTTGTACATTTCAAAAACAAAAGTTATCTGGCTTTTGGAAAAATGTGAAATTGCAAATAATGAGTAGGTTTTGGAGACTTGTGTGATGAAGTATAAAATGTTAACTGATTACTTCCATTATTTAACATTTGAACTTCATCAAGAATTTCACTTTTGGTACCTAATTTTTCTATTAACATAGAAGTAATAATTTAATAGTGATTTTTAAATATGCAAGTTAGCAATAAGAAATTAACTTGTCTGGTTCGATATTTTGAAATGAGATGTTTCCACAAACTGGCACTGTATTTATGTAAAATTAGACTTTGAAGAATTACTGAAGATAAGATAAATTCAGACTAGTACGTTGTTCATTAATAAAATATGTGATTCAGATTTGGTAGAATTTGTGAAAATAGTCTACGATAATTCAGTGTGGGGGGGGGGCTGTTTGATCTCTCCTCAAAATACAGTCTGAACTTAAGTTGAATGGTATATTGCAGAATCATTATGATCTCGTACAAAGTGGTGGTCAGTTCTGAGCTCAAGTTAAAGTGGTATGTAACAGACATTGCGACCAGTCTTTATTGTTAATATCAACAGTTCAGACTTCCAGCTATTCTCCTACATAGCTGGAATTAACCCCCACTTTCTATCATAGATCTCCCAGCCAACTTGCCAGGTGTGTTATGTATAATCTTCTTAGAGAAACTCGTTTCTTGTCTATCTTATACTCAGTTGTCTTCTGTTAGTTCCTTCATTAAATGGTATAATGACACCCACATTTATTCATATCTAGTATTGCATACCCATACTTACTAAATTGGTTTTGGTAATTAAAAATGTATAAATAATAATTAACTTGCATATCATTTGGTTTTTTTTTTTAGAAGAGTTTCTACTGTATTATCATTTTAACAAAATCTTTACTAACGATATTTATGAAATAATAAAATTACTTTTTATGGGTAAAATTATGTAGGTGTTTATTTTTATAAAATAAAATCTGGGAAAAAAATAAAAGCGTCAAAAAGAGTTTTTTTATTTTTTAGTGTTAATTAACAGTATCATCTCACCGATGTTTGTGTGTGTACATATATATATGCAAAATCGGATCAACTTTCAAAAATGTGCCTTAACAGCTAAGAATTGCCAAACTGATTTATTCACTCCAGTACTGATACTAAAAAAAATCCTTTCCTTAAAGTTTTGTAGTAGCGAACAAAAGAAAAATCAATATTTTTGAACACATGAATTTAAGCAAATCTTGTAATCTCCCAGCAACATATTTGTACTCGTCATTGTTTATTTATAAAACATACATCTTGCAGATCAAATAACAATTATTGATCAAATCCAATGTGTGTAAATAAAGGATAAATGTATGGCTGTCTAAAAAAAAAAAATCGAGCATAATTTTAAAACACCAAATGATTAGTTTTTTATTTGTCAGGCAACAGTTTACCAAAGTCACCTAAAAGACATTTATTTATACACTGATTTTTATATAATCTAAGCAATAACGTTCTGACTTATAATTTAAGGATGAAAAAATTCTACAAATATTAAAGTTGGAAAAGCACTTGTAAATATTTTATGATAGTTTTGTGTTGAGTAATTGTTAAATACCACAAAACATATGCCCCCCAGTGACTCAGCAGTATGTCTGCAGACTTAATGCTGAAAACTGTGTTTCGATACTAGTGATGGGAAAATCACAGATAGCCCATTGTGTAGCTTCGTGTTTAACTGCAAAACAAACAAGCAAACATATATTTAGGTTGAAAAAAATTATGTTTAGGCCGTACTATCGTAGCAAAAAAGACTAAAGCTATAGAAAGAATTATAATGTCTTCTGAAAACTGTTTTGTCAGAGTACAGGTAATTAATTTGTTCTCAAGCTTCCTTGGGTGGTTTTGGAAATATGCAGCTGAGGATATGTTCAGTTTAATTAAGAGCACATCTAAATTTCCAAACATCAGATATCCCAGTAAAGAAACTGGTCAACAGAAAGGAAAACCTGGAAAATTTGTATAAACAAATACAGTAATATTTTTACTTGAATTGCCAACTAAAATTTGATTCTAGTTTTATAACTGATGACTGTTTTTTTTTCACAGGAAATACAAAAAGTGAAACTTGTATATCACTAAATTTCCACTAGTAATAGGAACTATATATCGACTCGGACTTTAGAAACGAAGCTATTTCTCGGGTGTGGTTCTATTATGCATCACAGATTGCAGAAGCGATCATTTGGCTCTTTCACTTATTTAAAAAAAAAAAATCAGTTTCTGTTTGTTTATTTATATAATGTATGATAAGACAACACATTGTTTTGACAAAAATCAAGCAGTATAGCTTTGTTTTTTTAGCATATCTTAAACTACGTACTGAAAGAGACCACGTTTTCTAACTGGATCAAATTTATTTGGCACCACTGTCACTATCTATGATTTCTATGAATTTTGTAAAGTGTCATTTTAAGTCTCTGGCTATTGGTTAATTAACATGAAAAATTTTAATTTTACTAATAATACTTTAGAACCTGAACCTAAAGACAAAACGAATACAAATTTGAAACTTGCCTAGAAAGTCAGAAAAATTTATGTCACGTTAAAAATGGTGAAAGTGAAAAAGGAAAATTTTGCTTGATTTAATTTATCAAAAAATTTCATTTCCAGGATTTTGTCTAAACTTTTTGCAAGTACAATTACACTAATTACAGGTTAATTAAGTAGGATATTCAGATAATTTTTCTACATGAGACATATTTTCTTTATCCTCATCTCCACTCTACACCAGATACATCTTTATATGTGTTCTATGTTATAATTTTTAACCTATACGATCACAACATCCAGACTTAATGTTATAAGGTTTAAATTAACATATACGTGTGTGATGGTTCAACACACTTGGGTTTGCAAGCACTCATCAGTATTCTGTACTCTTTACCTCGAAGAGTAAACAGAAACTTGAGAATATTTTTTTTTTGCAATAATACTAATAACTTTTCAACATTTTCATGTTTGGTGAATACAGAGATGTAGAAAATTGTCTGGGTAACTCAAATGTTCACTCATCCACTGAAGAGGCGTGTCCATCGGAGGCTTTATGCCATGGGCAACGATCTGTACATTATCCAAAATATCTGTATAAAAAAAATAAAGTTTCACTTAAGGATATAAGCTAATATATAATCCAATCAGAATTAGACAAAACAACTTGAAATAGAAAAAAATCTTTTAGCCCTACATAAACAGACATTTAGAAAATGCAAAAAAACAGCTTCTTGATGAAACAGCTCAAAGATAATATAATGTGCTGTATTCACACCTTATAACTACTTAGACTGTACTGAGAAAAACAAGTACTAACACGAGGTTCCTTCGAGAAGCATTAAGGAAATGTTGAATTGTGTCTACGTATTTGTTTTTAATCATATTTCTTTTTCACAATTAATTTTGTCAAGATCTTGCAGTTTTTGAAGTTTCAAATAATCATCACCACACAGTTCCTTTGATAGGATGCTAAACTGTTTTTTTTTCTTATTTCATCCATTTTTAGAATATGGACAGTATAAAAACAAGTAAGACTGTCCAAATTTTGTGAATGAACTATTGATCCAGGTAGGTCATCAATAATTATAAAAAAATACAAGTTTAATCACCTATGTTCTTATATCATTTCACTTTTTTTTTGTAGCTTCTACTATAGTTTTATTATTATTATCGGTGTGGTTATGTTTATAACAACAATGGAATAATTATCATAAACTTCTGATCAAATCAAGTAAATAATACAATTAATTTATTACACTAGCCTAACTAGGAATATGCAGTATTATAAAACAAAAACTTGCAATGCATCAATTCATCAGTTGGCTACATAATTGCTTTTATCAATGTTTCGATCAGTTTAGGAGATTTCAGTTAGTCCTAGATCTGTATACTAAACTATCAATGTAGGAGATATCGGTTAGTCCTAGATCTGTATACTAAACTATCAATGTAGGAGATATCGGTTAGTCCTAGATCTGTATACTAAACTATCAATGTAGGAGATATCGGTTAGTCCTAGATCTGTATACTAAACTATCAATGTAGGAGATATCGGTTAGTCCTAGATCTGTATACTAACCTATCAATGTAGGAGATATTGGTTAGTCCTAGATCTGTATACTAAACTATGAATGCAAGACAATAAAAATGAATAAATTATACATTATAAATGGTTTATCCAATACTGTTAAAGAAACTAACATTAAAGAAAGAATGGAATATAACTTATAAAACACATAAAACTGGTCATTTTCTTAATGCCCTATCATTGATTCATCATCTCTTGAAAAACTAAGATAATTTTAAAGTAATTTGAACAGATCTCTTGCATAAGAACAATAGGTCCAATGCTCTAACAGATGGCAACAGCATCTCATTTCCATGTACAATTGTCAGGGAGTTGGTCAATACTCTATTAAAACTCAAGAAATTCTCAAAACTAAATATAATTTTACACACAAAAAAAGTTATCGTACCTTCTTTACTAAACTTGGGCAGAGACACATGGAGAAGGTCAAGTAATGTGGTGTTTTCGCCTTTCTCAGAAAGGGGTCGTACTAATCGCTGGATATACGGCATGTCGGGCTAAGTTCAATAAGGATTTATGGTTTAAAAAATGTTTACAAACTTTTCATTTAAGTGCTGACTAAGGAAAGTATACATACAAATAAAAGTTTATAATGGCTTGTCCTTCATTTCCTTATTAAGTTTTTTAGTTTTCTTGGTCAGACCTTCAAGAAGATACTCCAAAAAACTAAACATGTATTTTCTTTCCAAGGTAGGTTCAATTTTTCCCATCTCTTTCTCTTTCTAGTGTAAAATATTTATTTGAGTGTAGAAAACATTGTCTATTATGCCATCAGGAACTTGAACATAATATACTGGAGGGTTCATTTCAGAAAAAAGAAACTTTATAAGTACGCACATTTATGTTTTCTTCTATTTTCACAGACAAAAATTGTAAGTCCACAGAGGGATAAAGATATTGCCTACTTGGTAAAACTCCTAACAAAATAAAACATATAGTGCTGTATCACTGATGATACAATTCATTACGCATAAAATATATACCTTGGACTTTATCAAATGTGTAAAAACAGTAGTTTTAAGGCTTAAAAAAATATGGCCTACCTGATAAAGTCTGTAAGGAATATACTTGAATAGTTCATCATTAGTGTGCTCCATTAACTTTCTGTTGATCGCCCAGAACTGATCAAACTTGTCTACATAGTTATTAGAAAAAAGTATTCTGTAATTTCTGAGAACTTTTTAACTCCAGAATATTCTATATAAAGTTCATAGAGACTTTACAAAAGAAAATTCCAAAACCAATACTCAAATTTCTAGAACTTTCGAATCCTGCCATAAAGGACTAATACACACTTTCTTTGGTCTCACAAGGCATGAAATTCACAATAGCCAATATGAAATATTAATCAACTTGATTACAGTATCCAAAGTGTTTTTGCTTGTTTTTATGTTTAATTTCTTTTAACCAAGCTAATTACTTCATGAATAATTTATTACTAAAAACTGAAATTTCAGGACTTCGCCAAGTCCGTGGCTTAAAAACATCAAATTTTTTAGAAATCCACTTCTGAAATTTTTACATTAAGTTCTCCACAACATCCGGGATTTCAAAGACCTGTGTGAACCCTGTCTGTAGAACATATTTACAATAAATTTTCTATTTTTTATCCTCAAAGAAAAGGTCAGATATTAAAATTTGGATCATAATTTCATTATGCACATTTAACTTTTTTTTAATTCTATTAATTTTTTACATTTTTTTTGATAATTCATCTCACTGGAAGACTAAAGAACATATACTTTGATATATCAAAGGCATCATGAAAATTAACTTAATGTCCTCCATATTCATTTTGCATGTTACTTAATTTAGAACCACTGATCACAGCATGTGTGTACAGAAGAACTGTTGAACTATCTGTTAGGCTTAAAGCTTTATTTTTAACATAGAAAAACTTAAAATTTAAAAGCCACAGCTCCAAGTTTAATGACTAAACAATGAGCTCTTTTGTTCAGAGAAAAAAAAATTACCAAGAATGCTAGTATTTTAGTACACCATAGCCTAACAAGGAACAAAATTAAGACAACTCCCGAGGAAAGGTTACTACACAGATGTAAATGATATTTCAGTTGGAATTTTTTATATTCGGAAACTAAGAATTTTTGTTGCAATTTAATTGAAGGAAAATTTTTTAATAGCATTTAATGATTTTGATGGTTACAAATTGGTATGTGTTCTGACATATGGAACTTTTAGCAATGACTGGCCTTTCTGAACAGTTAATCACCAGTTATTGTGATCCGAACAATGAAACCATGAATAACAGTTCACTATTTTAAAAGTCTGACCAATGTTTTATGTGATCTAGGTGATGGAACTTTAACTATCCACTATTCTGGAGCTTAACCAACATTTGGAGTTATTGAAAAAAAATGTTAATAATTATTTACCAAAAAGTACTATGAAGAATAGGCTCAACATTCTAACGAAGATGGGTCACGACCTAAACAATCGAATTACTAAAAACAACTCACCATTTTGTAGACCTAACCACAGCTGGTTGTGATCTTTTTTCTGCATGGCACTTATGACCATTCCTCTGTGTTTTAGGAAATCAGCTTCTTTAATGGTTGCCATAAAGTGAGATTCAATGGCAGCTCGACTGGGGCAGTGTACAAGTTCTTCTTCTGGAAAGTTCTGAAGAAAAGAATCACTGATAAAAAAACAAAACTGAGTCTACGTTACACTAATAAATTCTAGTTCAACTACATTATTCAATTTTATATTTTCATGTGTTCATAAAAACAATACATTAAACTTCTATAATAACCATCAAGGACTAGTAATTATAAGTGTTCATATCAACCACTTCCTGTAGAGGTTCACACAAATTAAATAAGGGCTAAGATGTTTTGTTAACATTTTGCTTATTACATTTATTAATTTGCTAAAACATTTACTGAAGTTAACTTTAGTTTTGTTTATTTTGGGGGCAAAGCATGTAAAGTATCACTAACAGCTACAAAAGCTTTTAGAAAAATTACTTAATAACAAATTCTACAATTGAATTTACTTACTTGTAGTTTCTTGACTACAAGTTATATGTTTAGCTTGTACATCAGTACTTAGAGCAAGACTCTCATTGTATCTAAAGAAAATTAATTATTCAGAAGTAAGATCTATTTAAATTTATTTGAACTTGAACGTCGCCACGTCTCCAATCTCAAGAAATCAAAGACAACTTAGATTGTAAATTTTCTAAATTGAATAGTTTAAAAAAAAATATTTAAGTATGAAAATAACTTGTATTCAATGATTAATTTTGATCAAACTGAAACTTGTGTCACATAAGATGTACCGCCTAAAGTTTCATATTTTCTACAAAATGTCCAAGAAATCCTGATGCATCCTATTTTAATTCTCGTTTTGTGTTTGTCTGTCTGCAAACTCCTCCCACAGTTCTTCAGTTAAAAGGACTAAACTTGGCAGGTGGAATTATCTATATAGAGTAGCCCCCCTCTGTAGTGGAGCTAAAACTCACTTGGAAGGTAACCAAGGAGTGATAGGGTCTAGGAGTTGGTTTTCAGTCTCACTAAACCAATATCTTTCATTAGATTCTATGTTTCTAGCTTATTTAGGATCCCAAAGGTATCAAGTTTAACCCACTGACTGCAGCTGCTATAAACGTGCACAGAATTTTTGCATGCTGTACACCGTATACGGTACACTCCCATCCGACAACCAGAGTCAGACTGTACCCTATACAGCGAATAAGCAGTCAACGTGTTAAAACTGTGTTCGTATATCCTCACTCACGAGACAGCGGGACCAAATATGGCACACATGCTGAGATATAATGGGCATGTGTCTTAAATGGGGGTTTGTTTTGGGGTACAGACGCTCCTTGGGATGGCTATAGAAGTAATTACATAACAATAGGTTATTGATCAGTACATTTAAAATTCTGTGAATTAGTTAGTCACACAAACTCTATTCATAGTCACAACAATTGGTTAATTATACCAACTTTAACTTGTATTTAACCTTACCTTAAAATGAACTGTAAGGTTCCACGGCAACTGTGATCCTAACCCGTACAAGTCAAACAATAACCCAACTGGATAATGCCTGTTGAAAAAAATTATAAAAAAAACAGTTAAAACAAAACATTTAAACTGAAAACATAAACTGTTTGAACAGAAAATAAAAATATATATATATATAAATATATAATTTAGTATTTCTTTGGAAATTTTAGGTTTTTGTTTATTTATATTGTTGGTGTTTGTTATTTTATAAGGGCATTTTTTTAATTCGGTGGGGAAATAATGATTATTTCTTATTATTAGACGTTCTGATTGTGCATGCCCTACAATAACATTAAACCAATGACGGCTGATTCGCTATATATTGTGCAGTCTGCCTCCAGCAGTTGAATGTGGATTAGCTGTACAGAGTGTACGGCTCCTAAAAATTCTGCATGCATTTAAGGCAGCTGCAGTCAAAGGGCTAAGAATACGAATATAAAAATTACTTTTTTAAACTTTCAAACTTCATGATTTCACCATAGTTATAAAATTCAGAGAGAATGAAAAACAGTAAATAGTTTTTATGGATGATCATTTCTAAGGCTAATGAGTAAAAAATTCTGTATTTAATTTTACATAATGTAAAACTGTTATGTTCAATGTTCGTCACAATATTTTTATCCAAGAAAATATTATGATTTGTTGAATAAGAAACAATGTTTTATTTTAGAGAAAACAAGCTTAGTTTCTAAGTCCATTTTAGTATTCATATAACAAATTTAAAAATATTCTATAGACTTAAGATAAAAATTTTAAAATAATCTCAAAAGCAGTGAGAGAAAAATGGCAACAAACAAAGCCTCCTTAATAAAGCTTAAGGTCAATGAAATACATGAAAAAAAGCAACTCAAAAGTTGATACACAATAATCTGTACTGGAGAGAACTAATTCAATGCTAGAGGTGAAACATGTAATCCAATTCCTAAATCATTTAAATAAAACTGGGTAATAATTTCAATTCACTTGCTTAACCAAGTTCACACCATAATAATTTTTGTTTGTGAAAATTAATGTTTGTTGTATCCCAGTTGTCCCGATAAGCCCTGGTAATGGGTAAAAGATCTCACTGGCACTGGATATGGCACTTATAGTGTAGTTGACATTTCTTTATTTTGTAATTTTCACTCGAGGGTTTGTTTGTTTGTTTTGAATTTCGTGCAAAGCTACACGAGGGCTATCTGCACTAGCCGTCCCTAATTTAGCAGTGTAAGACTAGAGGGAAGGCAGCTAGTCATCACCTTGGGCTACTCTTTTACCAATAAATATTGGGATTGACCGTCACATTATAATGCCCCCACGGCTGAAAGGGCGAGCATGTTTTGGTGGGATGGGGGGATTCGAACCCGCGACCGTCAGATTGCGAGTCGAGATCCCTAACCACCTGGCCATGCCCGGGCCCACTCAAGGGTTCTTAAAACTACTATGTTCCACTAAGTAATCTCAATAAATTGCTTTGAACGTGATACATATAACACAAGGGAACAGAAAAGGTTTGCTCAATGAAACAAAAACAAACTTTAACCCAACCATGCAATGCATGTAGAATTTTCATTATTCTTGCGATAACAAAATACCACAAGTTTAAGTATTCTAAACTATTAAAACTATATTTTCTTGCCTGAAACACAGTGATTATTAAGTAGCTTAATGTTCAGATACCTGTTGTACATGCTCATACCTTCCATAAACTCACACTTCCATTGTTTCTAATTATTATCTTCCACATTTAAAACACCACAAAATGGTAATTATTTTTTAAACTGACCATTTTATAGGTTGACCATCATAGTCCAGCCACATTTCTGCTCCCTGGTCTGGTTCACTAATGTGTCGTGAGAAGTGCCGCTGTACTTTATCTGTTACCAGAGGAAAATAAGTCAACCTCGGGACCATTAGCTGAAAAAGTAATTTTTTTTTTTGTACCAGAAAGATTTATAAAGCAATAAAAAAATAATAAAAGGAAATAATGTTGAAAATTTTGTCTTAGATACATAACAAAAATAGAGTATTCCAACATTTCTACAGCTAATTATACTTGTATCAAATTATCTTTTCTACACATCTTTAAACATGAATTTTAAGAGTATTCTACAGCTAATTATTTCACATTATTTTTCTACATATCTTCTTTATATATTAAAAGCTTTATTATCCTGTATCTGTCAGACCTGGAGAGTGCTAGACAAAAATTCCACTTACACTTCTCTTGTAACATTTTGACACCTTGTTAATGTTCTAAAGTACAGTATTTCTACATCATCTATAAAAAATAACAATCTTAAACAATAATACATTTTGTCAAAACCATAACTTCAGGATGTAGAAAATATCTACAGATAAAGTAAGTACAACATGAATCTCAGTACAAGCAGCTAACGACTAAAGCTTGCCAGCAAGATAGAACATAAACAAAACCATAACAGTGTCATTGGAAACATTGATTAACTAAATTTGTGAACTTTCAAGAGGCTTTGAGAGCATTACGAGGCATTCCAAATGGAAATGTAATGGATGCTGGTTCCTACAATGATCATTTGTATTTGTAAATATTGAAATTTCTGGTCACGAGAGTTTTCAAGATGCGAAGATGTTGGATAACGAATCTTTTACTGTACCTACTTGTTAAGAGTATTCTACAATTTCTACAGCTAATTGTATTTCTATCACATTATATATTTGCTGTACATTTACCAGCCCAAAACTTCATAACTCAGCTGACAGTTCTAGCCTTGAACCAGTAGCCTACGTAGCAGGTCACAAGTCCCACAAAAAAATTTATATAGCTCTCCCCCCTTTTTTCGAAAAACGAGACATGAATAATTATGTTCTCGGGGATGAAAGTTTATAGAAAATGTAAACCTATGCTTTTGGATGAGAAAAAAATCTTAAATAAATTAATAAATGCATTGTTTACAAACAAGACCTCATAACTATGCAGAGAGGGAAATTCTAAATTCTTTACAGTTTTCATCACAGATTAGACTAATAAGTGTTATTCTAAAATATTTTTCAGTTAAAATTTGCTAAGTAGAGTAGGCATTATAATTTTTACTTAAATTTTGAAATTTGATACGAAGGTGTGTACTTGACATCTTAAAGGTGTTGACTGGTCATGGTAGGATTAATGGCATAACTTTACAGGCCATTCTGATTCCCAGACCCCGTAGTGAAGCTGTGGCAGTATGTACATCACTGCCTTGAACTATTGTATTATTACAGCTCGTAACGTAAAGTGACTGTTGTTTGTTTAACGTAGTTAAATGGTCTAAGACACAGAAAAGAGCTACAACATTTATAAAAACTTGTAACCTAATGATATCTAATAACTATAATCAGAACTGAAGTAGGTAAATATCGATAGGTTTTAAGTTTTGTACTTGGAAACAATTTTGTCATAATAAAAGCTCTTTCTCACAAGCTGTCTGCTATATTAGCATTGGTCACATTCACACCACTCGAACTATATATAAAAAAAAAAGAAAGAAATACAAGAACATGCTTATGAAATACAGGGATTGTTGCTATTACACCTGATAGCTAAGAAGAAAAATTAAAATTATGTTAAAGACCTTTTGGGATATAATATCACAATACAGAAGGGGAACTGGGATAAAACTTACATGTAAAAAAAAAGAAGCTGGTTAAAAAAACATGGCATTTACTTTTATAACTGTTTCAAGACATATATTTCCCATTAAGAGTCTAGAGTAGCAATTCACTCATTAGATAGAAAGGTTTAAAACTTTGGACTTGATTATTAGAATGTGTTGGTACAAACTTTAACATAAGCTTTTATTCAAACCCCCACCACCACATCAAAAACCTTCTCATAACAATATTAATATTCATAACGGGTACAATTTGTGGTTTCACAATTTTGTTGCAATGCTGATGAACTACCAAACCTCCATTACCGTTTACACAACAAAGTCTTCTTCTGTGGGTACTGATAAACATTTCCAAGACCCTTCTTGACCCCCGAAGACAACCTATTCCAATTGCTGACCATCTAATCAAATCAAGTTTGTTTCTAACTATTGTTCTCTTTATACCACTTTCTAATTGTTTTCTGCATTATAAAAACCTTAATAACTTTTTTGAACAAATTTTTATGTAACTGTCACTTTGATGTGAGCCTAAGGTGAATAATAGTAATAATAATAATAGTAGTAATAGTAACATGTTTGAGTGAGGGCTTTTTAAGCTAACAAAGTATTTCTATATATTTTGTATGAAGCCCTTTTAACAACTTTTAGCCTATATATATATATAATTTTTTTATAACAATATATTTAAAATTTCAAACAAACAAACATGGTCAAAAAAACTATTAACAGATGATACATCTCTAACAATTATCTATTACTTTAGTAGACGATTTAATGTCACAAAGCAGTCGCAAAATAACAATTGTTTTACAGACTTTTTATAAATTTATCAGTAAGTTTATTTGTTTTACTTACATAGAATGGATCAGGTTGTTGAACTGTGTTAACTTCTTCTACAGATAACCTGAAGCACACGGGTAGACGTCCATCCCACACCTCCCTCATTACCTCTCTGTCTTCAGCCATTGTGATTACTACCAAAACAACCAGAGTAGGCTTAGCAATCCCCAGATATTTTAATCTCTTCACAAGTATTAATTTGTCTGAAAGGAATATCCAAAACGAACTATGATCAAAACATTCAAGTAATGTTTTGAAGATGTTATATTCATAAGTAGGACATTTAAATCTCCCCAGATGTTGAAAAAACGGAAGATTTGTGATAAAAAATTTAACACATCTAGAAGTTTTACCTTCACATTTAGTAACTTACTCTTTTCATTCAAGAAACAGGAATAAAAATATACAAGAAATGTGTTTCGTTAGGGCTTGAGCAAAAGGATATTTTCTGTTGAAGGAACACTCATCAAAGTATAATAGCTGAAGCAAATAAACCTAAATGTGCCATAACAGTACCGAATACATGATCGATCATAAATAATGCTTATGTTGAGCACTGTTAAGATTATGTATGTGTATCAATATTACGACAATAGCTTGAAAAGTCAGGGATTTTTAAAACCACCTGAATAAAAATACAAGAATTTCTATGATAATCTTTTCAATTGTACAACTGTAAAAAAAAACACGGTAAAAAAGAAGATACAAGGGACTGTTTAAAACATTTATCTTTGAAGCCAACTAATATTATCTAAGTCAGTAAACTTTGTCTGACTTGGGACCTGGGGTTTTGGCTGGTTGTTTCATTGAGTGAGTATTGATCTCAATAACCAAAAGAATTTCTGTTTTTAGTTGATTTTCTTAAATGTTGTCTTCAAGAATGCTTACTTTTAATCCATGAAGTTATGAATAAATTAAGAAACTGACTTCTACCTGACTTTGTGTAAAACAATACTGGATAAACCGATGACATCTTATATGTCAAGAATGTGCTCTACTAACCAACTGAAAGGGCTAACACACTAGAATTTGCTAGTAATATGTCTTTTTGTAACTCGCATAAATACCACATTTTTCCATTCTCACAAATAAGGTCTCCCCTCAATCTTAATCTTGGCTGGATCACCAGTATTTCAGTAGTAATCCCATATTTTTAATATTTTCTTGGCCCAGAATCAAACCTGGTGCCTCTTGTGTGTCAAAATAGTGCTCAACCAACCATGTTAAAACTACAAAGACATCCCTTTTTAACAACTCAAAGAAACATGCAGGTAAGGATATTCTTATCTAAATAAAATAAGATACTCATAACAAGTGGTATTATTACTGGACACCATACTAGATTGATATCTCATTTAAAAAGAGGGGTTTAAAGACCTGAACATTTTTATTAAAGATTTTTACTTGAATATAAAAAACTAAAGGTGACTCAAAGTGTTTAAAGTTGTGAAGGGCTAAAAGAAATTGTCAATATGGGAAACCTGTTTGACTGATAAGGGTTTAAAGCAGGAATATTATTATTTGGGATATAAGCTTTGAAATCTCAGACCTACATTCCTTCTTCAGTTAGTCAAAACTAAACTTCAGATTTATAAACCTGTCACATGATCAACCTGTTAAAAACAGCAGTGCTTTTATTTTGTTTCAAATTTCTTGAATATACTGATATAATACATGAATGGTTATAATACTAATAGCCTATACTGGTGAGAACAAAGAGACAGGTGACTTTTAGTAGTGAAACTTGAAAGTGGCTTGGAGTTACACTTTACTGTAAATACTAAACAGTGTAAAAATAAATTGTTTGGCCCTATCGATTTATAGAAATGTGTGCTGTTATTATACAGTTACATATTTAAAACATTCCAGCAAAATGTTTCAATAAATATTTTATTAGCCAATGATTGCTACATTCTAAAACTTTAAGCAAGAACCTAACTCTGTTTTTGTGCTAATATTCTATATTAAGACGTTTTGTAATATTTCTGTTTTGCATGACAAATCCCTTGAAATTTCATTCTTTGACACACTATTAATTTAAACTTGATTATCTATGACTTTAAAGTTAAACTAAATTAAAATTCTAAAAATTAAATTCGTGACCAAAGTCAGAAATTTAATTCTGAAATAAATCAATACATATAACTAAATCAGAACTTGTCGTAATGCTGAAACTGAAACATTGCTGAGTTAATATTAGTAATACTAATACTTGTAACAACATTAAACCTTTCTCGATGTAATGTCGTAAACTAAAACAGCTGAACCAAAGCACAATCGGTTAAATCTTTAACCTCAACCACAAAGTTAAAATAAATTTATCGTACTGGTGGGATTAACTTCCTTAATATTCTGCCTTGACAGTTAAATATAGCCAGTGACATCTAGTAACTCGATCGAATATCACTGGTTGATTCTATAATTACAAGATAACAATACTAAAATAATATCTAGTATTGTGAAAAGGCAACAAATTGTATTTTAATAGTTTACTTATTAATTAAGTATATTTTATGATAAGTTACAGCTTTTACTGTAAGTAAGATTTGTATTTTGAACAGGTACAACTTTTCGATTACTGGTTCTTTCATTCTGAAATACACAACTTGAGAATGATCGCGTTCAAAATACAGATCTTACTTATTGTAAACACTGTAACTTGTCATAAAATTATATTTTGTTTAATCCATAACATAGCGAAACACGCCTTTCTGGTAAAATATTTTTACGACTAGAGAAATTCAAATTGAAAGCTTAATAAGTAAAATATATATAAGAATAGGAGAAAGAACATTTTACTTCGTAGTTTTAATTCTTTAAGCAAAGTGTCAGCCTGCTCATATTTTTCCAGAATTACGAAATTGTTTTGTTAATTGGTTGAGCTTTAAGAATATGTTATGATGTTAATGAAAATTATAAAATTAGTCAGGGGGGAGGTACCAGACCAATTTCACC